CATCTGTACTAAAAATACAAAAATTAGCTGGGCATGGTGGCGGGCGCCTAATCCCAGCTACTCAGGAGGCTGAGACACAAGAATCACTTGAACCTGGGAGGCGGAGGTTGCAGTGAGCCGAGATTGTGCCACTGCACTCCAGCCTAGGCAATAGATCCAGACTCTGTCTCAAAAGTAAATAACTAAAAAAGAAGAAAATAGAAAAAAGCACTTTTGATGCTCAAGGAGAGTTTAGCTCTCCTCAGGATCTATTTTCCCCTCTGCCTTTCAGACATACTCTGTATTTTCGGGATAAACACCAGGGCAACTAGTTAGCATATGCTGCAGCTGCCTGCTCCTTGATCTTTTAGGCATTGTGCTCCAAGGGTGTTCTGGGTCGCTTCCTGCTGAGAACCCTAACACTACTGAGGCAGCCTTGACTAAGCACACCTGTGTCCTAATTGTCCCACTGTAGTTCACTGGCTGTAGAGGAGGCCAAGGAAGTGCTAAGGACAAGGAGTCACTAGTAACCTTACAAGATGTTGGCTGGGTCACGAACATTGCTAGCTTTAGTCCATGTCATTTGAGGCGGTGGACCAGGTGGGTCCTAACCTGCAAGGTCTGGAAAGGCCTAGGACTTCATTTTCTTTTTGGAAACATCACTTGATATCTGGACTTGGATGACCCATCTGTGAAATGGGGAGAATTATTGCTTGACTCACCCTATAGTAAGATACTGTGCTCATGAAAAGAGAGGGCAGGATGAGTGCTCCGAAAAGATCTCATTGGTTTGTTTTTAACTATTCTGCCTTCTGTGTCTTCTGTCACAGATGGGTCCAGAGAAGTGAGTGACTTTCTCATATCACACAAAGTTGGTGACCAAAAATAGAACTCCCCAGTTAGTGCCAAATAAATACAAGGCACTTGAGAAAACTCAAACAGGAGTCGGGGGCCACTTCTTTTCTCTAAAACTTACATTCTCAAAAAGGGCCAGGCTAGGGAGTCGAGGGGGCATTTCCGGGTGGGGCACCCACTGCCTGCACCTGATCCAGTTTCAAGGGTGGTGGAGTCTTCTGATCGTGCTGGTACATCTTCCTTCCATGAGAGGCTGCAGAAGGCTGGGTTCCTGATTCCTGGGGTGGGTACCAGTGAGTACAGTGGGTTCCTAGGAGGGGTGGAGTGCTGTAGGTTGTGAAGGCAAACGTGGAGAGGAGAGGGAAATTTCTGGAGGAAGGTGAGGAAAGGCACCAAGAGGAGAAATCTCCAAGTGGGCTCAGGAAAGAAGTGGGTCGATCTGATCAGAGTTCAGGCAGAGATGTCCTCAGAGGGGCAAGATGTCCTGAGAACCTTAGGAGTGGAGACCCTTTGGTACAGCTGGTAGAAACCCAACCTTTAAGCAGCCTAAGGGAAAAAGGGGCGTGTATTGCTCATATAATTAGAGAATTGTAAGTAGGCCAGCATCAGGCATGGCTGGATCCAGGTGCTCCCACACCGCCTCTGTGTACTGGTTTACCTCTTTCCTGCCAGGTCCAGCTCTGCCAGCAGTTTCCCATCATGACCAACAGAAAGCAATCTCCCCTGCATCCTCCCTATAAAATCCCAAGAGGACTCTGATTAGCCCATTTTAAGTCCTGACTCATTTCTGAACCAAACAGCAAGGCTAGCCTGGGTTACACGTCCACCCCGTTGGGAGAAGGGAGTGGACCAGGGGCCGCAGGGAGAGGAGAATTTTCTCAAAAGAAGGAATTTGAGCCAATAATGCAATGTTTTGGTTAGGGTGAAGCGATGCTATACCTCCATCCAGGTAGGTTAGGGGCACCAGGCAGCAGCTAATGACTTTCTGTCTCTCTCTGTCCCTGGAGCAGAGGGGATCGTGATCAAGACAGAGGAACAAGATGAGGAGGAAGACGAGGAGGAGGAGGATGAGCTGCCACAGCACTTGCAGTCCCTTGGACAGCTGTCCGGGAGATACGAGGCCAGTATGTACCAGACCCCGCTGCCCGGGGAGATGTCCCCCGAAGGCGAAGAGAGCCCCCCGCCCCTGCAGCTGGGAAACCCCGTGGTGAAGAGGCTGGCACCCTCCGTGCACGGTGAGCGGCACCTGAGCGAGAACCGTGGGTCCTCGAGCCAGCAGCAGCGGAACCGGCGCGGCGAGCGGCCCTTTACCTGCATGGAGTGCGGCAAGAGCTTCCGCCTGAAGATCAACCTCATTATCCACCAGCGCAACCACATCAAGGAGGGGCCCTACGAGTGCGCCGAGTGCGAGATCAGCTTCCGGCACAAGCAGCAGCTCACGCTGCACCAGCGCATCCACCGCGTGCGCGGCGGCTGTGTCTCCCCCGAACGCGGGCCCACGTTCAACCCCAAGCACGCGCTCAAGCCGCGCCCCAAGTCACCCAGCTCGGGCAGCGGTGGCGGCGGCCCCAAGCCCTACAAGTGCCCCGAGTGCGACAGCAGCTTCAGCCACAAGTCCAGCCTGACCAAGCACCAGATCACGCACACGGGCGAGCGGCCCTACACATGCCCCGAGTGCAAGAAGAGCTTCCGCCTGCACATCAGCCTGGTGATCCACCAGCGCGTGCACGCGGGCAAGCATGAGGTCTCCTTCATCTGCAGCCTGTGCGGCAAGAGCTTCAGCCGCCCCTCGCACCTGCTGCGCCACCAGCGGACTCACACGGGCGAGCGGCCCTTCAAGTGCCCCGAATGTGAGAAGAGCTTCAGCGAGAAGTCCAAGCTCACCAACCACTGCCGCGTGCACTCGCGCGAGCGGCCGCACGCCTGCCCCGAGTGCGGCAAGAGCTTCATCCGCAAGCACCACCTCCTGGAGCACCGGCGCATCCACACGGGCGAGCGGCCCTACCACTGCGCAGAGTGCGGCAAGCGCTTCACGCAGAAGCACCACCTGCTGGAGCACCAGCGCGCGCACACCGGCGAGCGGCCCTACCCCTGCACGCACTGCGCCAAGTGCTTCCGCTACAAGCAGTCGCTCAAGTACCACCTGCGGACCCACACGGGCGAGTGAGCGCGCTCGCCGCCGCCGCCGCCCGGCAAGGTGCGGGCTGACTCCCCCTTCGGACAGCCAGGCCCGAGCCCAGCGGGCGGGGGCGGGGCGCCCCCCAGCCCCTTTACTGTGAGCTCCCCTCTCCTTTCGTCCCTCCTCCCAAGGACATGGGGACTGTGAGACCAGGTCCCTTGCTGGCGCGTTTCCTTGGTGCCCCAGGGGGGGAGGGCGTGGACCTGGGGAACCCTTTCGGGCTGTTAATTTCCTTGACAATAAAATGGATGAAACCAATCAGCACGGGGGGCGTGATTTGGCCGCCGGCCACTCAGAGGGGCGGTGCAGGGCCATCTAGCTGGGGATAGAACTTTATAATTACCTTTTGGATACTGTGGTTCTATTTGATAATAATAGAGTAATTTTTAAAAGACGAGCGTTTCCTGTTTGCCGTTTTTGTTTGGTTTAAAGGGGCGGGGTTGAGAAGGCCCAAGGGACATGTGCTAGTGTCAGTTGACAGGTTCTGTTGGATCCTTTTTTGTGTGTCCATTCTCCGTTTGGGTTGTGGAGTCGCTGATCCTGCCGGTTCTGAAATGGAGGAGAGGCAGGACTGACCAGCCTGAGGCCGTAGAGAAGTCTAAGGGATCTCGGGAGCCCCTGGACCATCGCCTGTGCCCTGGAGTCCGCGAGGATGCTGGGAACTCAGGACGGAATAGGTCTCACTTGACTAGCACGGTCAGGGAGAGTGACGGTCACGTTTGGAATGAACTGGAAAGAAGTTCCTGTAGCAAAAGCCGGAGGCTTCCCTCAGGGCCCAGGCGTTCCCGCCCAGCTGGAAATGCAGCTGGCTGGAGAGCAGCGTGGCGGGAGGGAGGCCTGGGGAAGAGGTACAGAGGCCCCTGGTGCCAGTCTTTGGGGAAGCCACAAAAGGCACCAGTCAGAACATTTTTTATTTGAATGTTGTACCAAAGCTACTCTGGACTTGCTGAATGCACTAACGAGCCCTGATTTCTCTAGGTATTCATTCATTTCCCATCTCCCTCCAGCTCTCTCTTACAGAAAAGGAAACTGCAGGCATATTACATTGCCCACAGAGCGATTTACTCTGCTGATGGCAGTGGCCCAGAGAGAATTCAGGCCACTCGAAGGGACAATTCATGGAGGCTAGTAGAGTGCCCAGCTCAGCCCGGCACACTGGGGAAGCTGGGCTTCTGTTGAAAGCAGAGAGACTAGCCTGAGAGGAGGGTGCTGCTGAAGCCAGGCCTGTCAAGTTGTGACAGGATACTTGAAGGGGGTGCAAAAAATGGGATTTGGAGGAAGAAGGTGATATACTCTTGACTTTCAGGGGACCATAGAGACCATCAACTCCTCCTTTGTATAAAGAATTAGTGAGCTAAGTGCAGAAAGGGGAAGTGATGGCACCAGATCTCACATGTGGAGCTTCTCCATTTACACTGAATTTCTTACTCATGGTAGGAGATTAGGGGCTGAATCTGACAGAAGGCAAAGAAACCTAACAGTCAGATGTGGGAAAACCAGCTCTGGGCCACAGACAGGTTGCAGGTAACAGAACCAGTGGGTGGAGATTGAAGGGATGGCAGGGGAAATGGCCCTTTTGAACGTGAGGATATTTGAAGTCTCCAACAGTTGTTGGTGGAGGAATTTGGGGAGGTATTTGGTAGAGGGCTGTTGCTGCCCCAAATTTTTACTAGCTCTGGAATTGGAGAACCAAAGAGTGCAGGAAATGTCCAGCTTGAGTGGAGATGGAGGTGGTGTTGGGTAGAATCCATGTGGAGACTCAGAAGCTTCATTTGTTACATGAAGTTAGTATGGGGTCAAGTGAGAATGGTGCTTGAGAAGCTTTCTTTTTCTAGGAAATCTGGGTGGTTTTGTTCTGTTTTGCTTGTTTGTTTTCTGAGATAGGGTCTTGCACTGTCACCTAGTACGACAATCATGGATCATTCTAACCTCAACCTCTGGGACTCACATAGTCCTCCTGCCTCAGCCTCTTGGGTAGCTGGGGGATTACAGGTGTGCACCACCACACCTGGCTAATTTTTGTTTTTGTTTTTGTTTTTTGTTTACTTTTTTGGAGATGAAGGAGTCTTTCTATGTTGCCCAGGCTAGTATCAAACTCCTATCCTCAAGCCATCTTCCCACCACAGCCTCCCAAAGTGCTGGGATTACAGGCATGGGCCATTGCTCCCATCTGAAATTTTTTTTTTTAAAGGATAAAACCAAATATAGTCAAAGATTGGTATTTCTTTTTCTTTTAACTGACTGAATTCATTGCATCAATTAGAACAGCCTGGTTCATGCACCCTTACGTCTCTGTCTCTTGTAATCCCATTTAAAGTCTTTCAAGACACATTATAGTACGTCAAGATTGGTGCATCTTACCGATAGCTGGGCTGCTGTGACTTCCCTGACTTCTACCTCCCCTTCCCAGGCTCTGACCCCCCTCCTCATGCCTCTTCCTCCTAAGTGCCCGGCACCTTGTGCCCCAAATCATCTCTCCTCTTGTCCTGACTTCCTGCCACCATCTTGAATCTCACTTCCATTTGCTCTAATCTCTGCTATTGGTCAGAGACTAGCATCAACTAGAGGTCAGTTCCTAAGGTATAGATAGCCTTTGGTGTCAAAAAGACTTGGCTTTAAACTTCATAGTTGTATGGCCTTGAACAAGTTAATCAACAAAACATCAATTTCCTCATCTGTTAAATGGGGATAATAAAGGTCTCGTTGTTCTGAGGCTTAAATAACAATAAATAGCATAGCAAAGACACTGGCGGACACTAAGGTGTCATAAGAGTTTACTAATTTCAAACAGAAGTTCAAGTTGGTAGTGGGCGTTATATCCTTAAAGAATGAATCTCTGAGAAAGAAACTTCAACAGGCAGATATAGATTATTTTGATATAAGAAAGTGCAAATTGAACCACAACTATGTCATGGTCTTGATGTAGGAGTGGACAGGATTTCAGTTCATCCCTTGGCCTGACTCCAGAGTCTGCAGAAGGTAGTACCCCACCTCGTAGGGTTTTCTGGCCCTCTTTCCCAGTGCTTTTCTTGAGTGCCCTTAATTTAATTAGAAAGTCAGACTTTTGAACTCCTAAGTTGCCTGTTGCCATTGGCCCCATAAAGCTGTGTAGCAGAAGGAATAACTACCGTTTATTGAGAGCGTCTTACTTTTGAAGACTTTACATACATCTCTTTATAACTGTTATGTACGTTTCATTACCCCCATTCTATAAGTGAAGAGCTCCAGGCTCAGGGAGGTTAAGTGGGCCCAAAGTCACACAGCAACCAAATGGTAGAGCCAGGATTTGAACTCAGGTCTTTGACTCCAAAGCCCATGTGCTTGGCCAAAAAGTTTCTTTCCTGAAGCCAGTATGGTTGTTGAAAAAAGAAAAGCTGGCCAGGCATGGTGGCTCCCATCTGTAATCCCAGCACTTTGGGAGGCTGAGGTGGGTGGATCACGAGGTCAAGAGATCAAGACCATCCTGGCCAAGATGGTGAAACCCTATCTCTACTAAAAATACAAACGTTAACTGGGCATGGTGACACACGCCTGTAGTCCCAGCTACTTGGGAAGCTGAGGCAGGAGAATCACTTGAATCCAGGAGGCGGAGGTTGCAGTGAGCTGAGATCGTGCCACTGCACTCCAGCCTGGTGACAAAGTGAGACTCTGTCTCAAAAAAAAAAAAGAACAAAAGAAAAAAGAAAAGTCAGCACCTCCTTTAAATTATTCCATTTTGCCTCCAGATTTTTTGACTGAAGATAAAATTGGGGGAAACAGAATTATTAAACAGAACATGCTCTGTGCATTTGCCAAAATGATGAATGCAGTAAGAGGATAAAAAAGAACCTTCGAGGCAGGAAAAACCCCTTAGCGCTGAGCCCTAGCATTTTACAGCTCAGAAATGAAGAGGGGAGGAGTTGGGTCCTCCAAGGTCACAGACAGGACAGGAAGGGCTGGTAACGGGGGAATGCTCACTGTCTTACAGCCCCCCAGTATTTATTAAGCACCACTTGTGTGCAAAGCATTGTGCTGGGCTCCATGGAGAAACACAAGAGAATTAGGAATCCATGGCTGCCTTGACAGCACTTAGCATCTAGTGGAGACTGGCAGCCTGGTTCTCTAAAAAGCCTCTGGGGAATCTGGAAAGCTGGGACCATCAGAGAGGCCTGTAGGCGGCTGTCTCCACAAAGAATCACATCCCCAGCTTTTCTTCATCCCTCTTCAGGCGATATAGCCTGAACCAGCCAGGTGTCTGTGGGAGACCTTTCCTGAAGCACTGTGGTGGCAGCTCCTCAGATTAAGGGATCAGGGACAGAGGCCCTCCAGGCCCTACTGTTGCCAGGGCAACGTTGAGTCAGGCCAGGGCCTCTCCTCCAGCGTTCTGGAAAGCATTGCTGCTGCCAAAGCCTCTTGTTGCTTCCCAGTCATGATGGCAACTTCTAGATTACAATTTGTAAAAAGTCAATTTTACATCTATCATTTCTAGTTGATTTCCTTAAAATGAGGGATTTTAGTTAAAATATAGACTTTAGCCCTTTTATTTCTGTTTTCTACAAAGGACAGCTCCAGGTTAAATGGTTAAATGATTTTTTTCTAAAAAAAAAAAAAAAAAGAAAAGAAAAAAAAAAAAGAGAAGGAAGGTGAAAGGAAGGAAAAAAGGGAAAAAGAGAGACCAGGATAGAAAGAAAGGAAAGAAAACATTAAACATAGTACTGTTGATCGCAACCTTACCTGAAAACTTCTGTTCAGAAGTCAGAACTAGCCACGAGTTTATTAAGGATAATAACTAAAATCACTACAATTCATTGAGTTTTACCATGATGCAGGCACTATCCCAGGTCGTAAATGCTTTCCTTTCATTTTATCTTGCAACAATCTGTGAAATTGATGTTTGTGTTCCCTTGAACGGATGAAATTCAGAGAGGTTCAGCATCAGCAGCCGAGGTCACACAGCCAGAATTTAAACCTAAGTGTGTGGAGACCCCAGTTGTGTGCTATTAACCACTGCTACGTACTGTCTCCCAATTTCAACATGGATCCTTAAAAAAGAGCAAAACGTAACAATTTCTCTCTGATTTGCAGCTCTCACTATCTATGGGCACAACATGTGAGTCTGGACCTGTCTGAGAGCACTGTTCCCTGGCTGCCTGGCCAGCTGAGTCCGGGCAACAGCGGGATAGACACTGAGGTTCACCTGACCAGCTTAGAATAGGTGTTGCCGGGCACATTGGTGGTTAGAAGGCCAATCCAGCCCCCGTCTTAGACTGAGCCCTTAGGGACTTTGGGAAGAGCACTGTTATGGCAAGAGGCCACCCTTCTCTGTTTATTTCTGACGTTGGGACCTAAGAAGCCATTTGTTTATCAGTCAGAGGAGTAGTTGCATGAAGGAGATTATTATAAGGAAGACATACCT